TTATAGTTCCAGCCAAAGAGGTCAAGATAGAAGGAGCTGAACGAATTTAGGACACCTGAGAAGAGACTGAGGTGAGTGAGAGCCTAGGAGCCTCCCAAGAGTCCAGGTTTAATATGTCCATTAGTCTATCATCCCAAAGCAGTAACCTAGTAGGTCTTTGCTATAATGGGACACAGGACAGACGGGTTTCAATAGGCAGCGGCAGAGGGAGAGCTGGCTAGCATGGGGTATGGATGAAAGTCCTAGACGCCCAAAAATATGTCTTGAAAGAACTAGCCAAAGGTAAGTTAGCAGCACCTTGAAATGAACTTCCTCCCCTTTTTGCAGAGAGTTTATTCTTCCTAACATTATAGATATTATATGATAAAGGGCTATTCTTAAGATACAAAGTTTCTTCTGTCTCCCCCAAATGAAAAATAAACATAAAATAAGAACAATAAAATTAGAAAAAGCAAATTAGAGTTATTTTAGCTTGTATGTATCTTTAATTATGTGACTCAAAGTTTATATAAACCATAAAAATAAATTATTTTTCTCTGGACACTGTTAAATATTCAATTCCATCTCAAGTTTAAAATATCCCCTTTCCAACACATTTTGTAGATATGATGTACAGTCATTCACCACATAACAATATTTCGGTCAATGACAGACCACATTAACAACCTTGGTCTCATAAGATTAGTACCATATAACATAGGTGTGTAGCAGGCTATACCATCTAGGTTTGTATAAGTACTTAGGAGAGGAAGAAATTTTCTTCTATCCTTCTAGGTTCTTCTGGCTGGTCTAAAAATTAAATTGACGTGAGACAGATTAACATGAGAAAAACAAATAAAAGTTTAATAACATGTTACACATGGGAGAAACCAGGAAAACCGAGTAACTCGCCAAAATGGCTGAAGCTCTCACCTTAAATATCACCCTCAGCTAAAGACAAAAGAAGATGTTGGGGTGGGGAGGGTCAGGGACTTCATGAGGAAGGAAGGCAATTCACAGCTAGGTGAAAAGGAGCAAAGGTTGAAAAACAAGTGTTTGGCCACACAGAAACAGAAGAACACAGAGGGGAGCCCAACAAACAGGCTTTTCTAGGTTCCTCCCTGTCTGCTACCTCACATATGTTATGCTAAGGTGATAGCTCGCTTCCTGAGACAGGATTTTTATCTGAATTCTTTTAGGCAGTTAAGGGGGAGGTAACAAAAAAAACTTTCTGAGTCTTTTGTTTCTTAAAAATAATCAGTCTAAAATTGTCCTCATGTTAGAGAGTCACATTTTGGAGTGGCAAATTTTGTTCCCCTTTGGTATACTCTATAATGTTTGCACAAGGACACATTTCTCAGAACATATCCCTATTGTTAAGCAACACACGAATGTACAGAACACGGCCATGATCCGTCCATGCTCGATGGTGAAGGCTATAGGTATTACTGAGAACAAAATAAAATGGCTGAGAACGTAAGTTAACCACTGAAGGTGACAATGACAGCAAAAGTCAATGTCTCCTTGAGGACAGTGAATTTGTGATGAATCCCAGCCCTGTGATTGCCAAGGAAACAGTGGAAGGGTGACACAGAGGGTCATGATGACCTCTCCAGACAGAGTGGACACTGTGGTCTTGCCAACCCCCCCGCCCCCCCGTAAAAATGAGACAATAAAAATGAGCTTTCTCAAGAAAGACAGGCTGTGTCCCTGTCTTGACAAGGCATCTGCTCACACATTCTCCTTAGCCGGGATGTGAGGAGCCAGAAGCCAGTGACCACTACTGAAGGCTTTTTGCCAAATGTGTGAGGTTCTCTCTCTGAATTCTGACTGAAATTGCCCCATCCCTCCTCCAAATATGCTCTCTCAGCTCAAAAGTTTGACAAGATCAAACAACCAGAGCTATTTAAACATCGTACTTTGGATAACACCTTCTAAGACAGTTAGCAATTCTAGCTTGTTTAGACTCTCTCCTGCCCCCCCCCCCCCCCCCCCCCCCCCCCTTATTGCCTATGCAGGGACTCCACAACTTTCTCAATCTTAACATGTCTTTTCTGTGCTATATCCGGCATGCCTACAACATAGTGCTGATATACATAAAAGGGATTCAGTACATATTTGCTGAATGAATAAATTCAACAGACATTTATCTGGTTATCATATAGCTCATTAGAAATGACAGGACTTTTGCTAAGTTACTGGGTGAAGAAATGATAAGAGGAGGATACTCATTGTTAAACTATCAGGTTTTCCATTAATGAGAAGTTGAGGGGGACATGGGGATTAGCTATAGAGATAACTAATGGGATTT